TAATATTTTATAATTTATAATTTAAAACTAAGAGTCGGTAGAACCTGACAAGGTTGAACGCACCTCTGATGTGCAGAATATTTTTACTCACAAAAATATGATGAGTTGAACAAATATATTATAATTTTTAAATTATAATGAAAAGTGGAACTTGTCAAGGTTGAACGTAGGACTGAAACTTCCTGAAAGTTCTCAAAACAAAAGACATGCCTTTAGGAATTATTACGAATTTTTTTACTCTTGTTGTAAAACCTGATGTTGATCCAAAGTAGCGATGTCGAGACCAAGCGTGCGTCTAGTTCTTCGTGGCTTCATGGGGATGTTGCTCGGCCCCACGGTGGGCACCAAAATGTTTCGGTTGAATTGGTCCGAGGATCGATTGTCCTTCCTTGCTCTGCTCTCTTTTGATCTTCAATCCTCTCCGAGAACGCGATCCACTCCAATGGGTTGTTGACCTACATAAGACACTCCGACACTCAAGTCAAATATGTTTCATAAAGAGGTCTATATTTTATTAGAATAGAAAAGGATGATTTTACCTGACATTAGTTGTATTATTTATAGAGTTTGTGGCAGTCAAGTCCATTGATTAATTATCAGTATACTTTTAGGGAATCAAACTCAATAATCAATAATTAATACCGTATATTTGTAAAGCGTAAGGTAATCTGACCTATTAATACCTGATAATTTATCATGAATGACCATTAACTCTGATCGGTATATTTCATATAGTACACAATTGAAACCTTACTGAACACCATATTACATATATCGTTACAGTCAATGAGACCGATGAGACTTCGGGAAGGGAGGCAGAGAGGTAGCTGGTCAATTAATCTAAACTCTTATAACTTCCCAAGCGTCATCATTGACTTTGTCCACGATGTTAGTTAACTTGGGTTCTCCATTTAGTAAAAGGGAAATTTCGGCTGACCATTATCAGTGTAAAACTTCGACTGACAAGTCTTCTTTATTACCACCTTAAGGTAGTTCGTCTTGAATCCCTTAAAAGAGGCATTAAACAGAGTGAACAATCACTTCCCTTTCTCGAAGATCAGAGACACCCAACCTCTTCTCACATGCGGGCGGGTTCGAAAGAAATATAGAAAGCAGGAAAGAGTGAGAGTAAAATTGAGGGCCTTGCAAATCACCTAAAATGCCCACATAAACGCCCACCCATTCAAGTATAGTTGGGTGGGAGCCAAGTTTAGCTCACTCAAGATGCTCATCTAGAAGTTTCTAAAAGGTAGCCGAATGAGCAAATCCTTAAAGAGGTAAGAGTAGGCATAGAAAAAAAATCATACTTCCCGTGGAAGATTCACTCGTTCTTCTTGCACTCAACAAGCTTGAAGTATTCGGCCTCCTCCACTTCTTTAACCAAGGTCACCTTACCAGCAAACTTCCCTAGAGAGTACCTTGTGTTGAAACATGATACATACTCTCCATCTTCATGAGGAGCCCAACCATACCCTAGAACGGGCGAGACAAACGATCGCGACCCATCTCACTCCCCTGTGGCATCCACATCAATCACAGCTACTTCCCTCACATGATCTCGAACAATGACATTATTCATATTTACATCAGTCGCCACATCTCCCGACTCTATGTGCCGCTTAGTTGATCCGAAGATGGATGACCTAACCGATGACACAGATGACGACGACACATCATCGACATACCCTTGACCTCCTCTCCCTTCAGACTCCTCAAACGAAGACAAGAGAACAATATACATTATTACCTTAGAGAGAAAGATATAAACGTTCGGTACTTCAAAGATAGTTGAGAGCACTGGTGAAAATGACGTTGAGCCCCACTCATATTTACTGTTGAAATGGGTGTCCTAATAGATAAACCCCAACCATCAAATCAAGGAAGATTTAACGACCCATATCTTGTAACCCTTCGTTTCTTGGGGTGCACGAGTACCAACGTGCCATGTGTCCTACTTTCAGTGGTTGTAACTTCTCCTCAACTATCACATCTCCTCAACTATCACATCCCCTTAAATTGTGGTTGACGGTTATAACTTCCCAGTCGATCAGTCATAGAGAGAAATCAACCTCCCCCAAAGTGTCCAATATCGTTTTTGCAGCAAATCCCTTCACATATCATGGTATGCTCGGACCTAGGGGACCTGCGTACTGTATGGTCGTCAAATTAACCTAGGACCAAACGGTCCACACAGTTAGAAATGTCAACGAGACCACCCAGAGACTGAGCAGTTGTACCATACAGACCTAAGGTCACCCTTAAACAAAAATTAGACTTGATGAAGATTAGTTTACAACAAAACATGATTAACACCAATCGGGCCACGATTAGGTCGTCAGTAATCAAAACTCATTCCGAAATTTATAAATACAAGTTTGAGGTAAAGATGTACGGATTGCAATTATTATGTATTAACTTCTGAGCTTGCCAAATCTTTACCAACTTTGACATCGAAGTACTTTTCGAAGGACAAACGATAAAATAGATAACCTTAACTCCATGGAAATAATTATAGTATAATTATTAAAAATTAAACATGTTTAATTATTTGAATTTTTAATTAAATTTAAATAAAATTATTACATTAAGTTTTTGTATTAAAATAATACTAAAAACCTTAAAAAAAAATTGATAACGTATAAAACAAAACTTATTATTTAATACTCTTGTGTTAAAGTAAACAAAAGTTGAAAAAACAGAAAACTGATTGACAAACTTATAAAAAGAGAAACCACATAAAAATAATTATAGACTCTTAATCGCAAAATTAAAATTTGTCTTAGACGTAAATTTTAATACAATCTCTGAATTTTAAATATTTTTTATATTAACGATATTTTAGTGATATTTAAACTAAAACGTATCAAATAAATAGATCAACATAAAATATCATTTACCACGTAATTTTTTTTAAATAAATTGAATTAAAAGAAATATATTTTTGTATTTAAAGTTTCAAAGTGGATAAAAACAAATTCGTTAAAATTTAATGGTTACAAATATATTTAGAAAAAAAACTAATTATTTAATACTTATGTGTTGAAGAAAAAAAGTTGAAAAAGCATACCAACAAAACCGATTGTTTTATGATTTTATATTGAATATTTATCCTTCTATAATTAATAATTAATTTAATAAATGGATGCAACTCATAAATGTTTTTCTATATTCCAATTAGATTAAATTTAATATCAATTTAATTCGAATAAATGCCGCCTGTGCAGTGGAGGGTCCAAAACATATTGAAGGCTTGGTTTGGGTTTTCTTTTCTTCTTTCCAGTGTTGTTATCTGTGTCTCCCTGAGTGACACAATCACAGTGCAACGGAACCAATGCATAACATTAAAACCATAAAACCCTAACGATTCACGGAGTGAGCGTTTTTGTGTTGTGAATTGTGATTATTGATTGAATCGGTGGAATGGAAGTGGAGTTGGAGCCTCGCGTGAAGGCGCTTCCGTTCAAGGTGAAAGCCACTTCGCGAGAATCGCCGTCGCAGAAAGCTCTCCATGTCCTCGACACCGACCTCCGTACTCATTGGTCCACCGCCACCAACACCAAGGAGTGGATTCTTCTAGAACTCGATGTCAGTCCCTCTCTCTCTTTCTTCAATGCGGCTCAACATTTTCTTCAATTTTCATTCTCATGCTTCTCATAATAACTGTAATAATAGTAATTTTCCTCTGACTTATTCGGTTATGTAGTGCTATAATAACTTCATATACGGTGAATGATTGTTTCCTTCGTTTACTTTTTGAACTCTAGGTTTGCTTCCTGATCATGAGCTTTATGAATGAATACAGCTTGAACTTAGGTTTTGTACTTTCGATTATAAACGGTGGATGATTGTTTCTTTCGGTTGGTTTTTGAGCTATATGGCTATTTTAAGATGGAGAACCTTGTTTGTTTGTTTAATTTGGTGCATAAAAGACGGAAACTGGTACTTAGGTTTTGCACTTTGGATTATAAACGGTGGATGATTGTTTCATTTGGTTGGCTTTGAACTCTACGGCTGCTTCGAGACACAGAACTTAATTTGTCTGCTTAATTTGGTGCATAAGTGAGTGAAACTACAACTTTGGTTTTGCACTTTCAATTTTTTTTTAATGATACCTCACTCTCTTTATATACAGTTAATGATGTTTCCATTAGTTGGATTTTGAACTCTAAGTCTGGTTCAAGATGAAGGACTTCATTTAATTTGATTCCAAAAGGAGTGAAGCTAGATCTTAGGTTTTGCACTTTTAATGTATTTCAGTACTTGATTGCTTGAGCAGGCAGTAATTAGTTAATATTAACAGAGTATTCGGAATCATATTTCTGGGGTTTATTTATTTTCTATGTCTCAACACTTGAGTAAGGTTTTAAATTGCATTTTCAGTTTTATTGGGTTCTGTGACACTGGGAAATTGTAAATGTGGCAGAATGCTGCCACAATTGTCGTTGTGTAGACCTAAAAAACCTTGATGTTGTGGCTGAAATCACAGTGATGGACTGTTTTTTAAAACCTTGTTTCTTTGCAATAGTTATTGAAGGGATTTTGGTTGGAGTCACAGATTAGTGATATTGAAATGGCTTAAGTAAGTTTCAGGTGTCCAATATATGATCAATTTTTAGCTAATAATTTTTTTTTCAAATTAGGTACCTAATAAAGTATAAATTTTTTGTTTTAGACCTTGAAAGAAATGTTTATTTGTATTTCTTCCGTATTATTATGTTTATTCTTTTAATTGATCCCCGAAATATTTATAATCTTTTGATCCCTCAGCTAACTATCAAAATGTTTTTTATTAAATGATGATGTATCCTTTCGGTACACATAACAAAAGGTACTTGATGTTATCATTCCTCAATGTTCTAGTTTGTGTGACATGTTTTTCAGCTTAACAGATACTTGAACAGTTAAATTGAAGCAGGTAACGGAAGAAACTTGAACCAACACGTTTAATTTTTAGGTACCCACTTTGAGAAAACAATAATGAGTACCAAAATAAAAGAAAAAGTTGTCATATAAATTGGAGACCTAAAATTTATTTAAGTCCACCCAAATTTGAAAACGAAAAGGAAGGGTTTGTTGTTGCATAGACCGTGGATAGGATTGATGCAGCAAATGGTTTGTTTGTTGTGAGTTTTTGGGGCCTGTAACAGCTTTTTCTGTGTTGCACATGATTCAGTTTGGAAGCAGTTGGACATTTGTTATTGTATCTGTGATGTTTTATGTCTCCTTGTGTAACTAAATGGTAGTTATGTTTGTTTGTTGCAGGAGCCTTGCCTGTTGTCGCATATACGGATTTATAACAAGTCTGTACTTGAGTGGGAGATTGCGGTTGGCTTACGTTATAAGGTTACTGGCTGGAAGTTGTCAATCAATGATCATTGACAATTCTTATTCTTTTCCTCTCGTAATTTTTATTTCTTTATAAAGCCCGTGTAGTCAAATCTTTTTGGGGTCATTTTTGGTTAGTCAATAGTTTTTAAAGGGAAAGCATATGGTGTACCTCATGGTGGGATGCATATTTTTAGATCTAATTAGTGCTGAATAAATGATGATATAACCTGAGGACAACACGAATTAGCAAGCAGGTATTACAAAAAATTGGCACCTTAGACAGCAACAAATATAAATTATGTTAAGCTTTTATTGGAACAACTGGTTTGGACTGTTTGATATTACATCTTTCAAAAGCATAATTGTGGTCTGGACTGGAAATTGTGGATAAAATAATTTACTTTAGTGTTTATTTTTGGGTTGAATCTTTGGTATTACAATACAATGAGAATTTATTAGTCTCATTGTCTTTTATTCAAGGTTTTCTGGAGACATGTTCTTGTTTTTTACTGACATAGTATTATCAACATGGTGCATGCTTCTTGAAATCTTTCTAGACAAGATCATTCTTGAATATGATGTAATTAAGCTGTGCTGATTAAATGAAATTATTAAATAATTGATTGGGAACAGTAATGTTGGCTAGCATTCATCCCACAACTTGTCTGTATGGAGGGTGGAGGTAAAATCGTTGAGTCACACTTCACGTGGATCCCACTTTATTTTCAACTGAATGTTGGTTGTTTCTGTTCAGCCTTTTAATAAAAGAAATGCACTTACAATGTTAAACTGTGCTCCTTCAATTCCTTATTTTGACAATGATGATGTGTTATTCCTCTGTAATTAGACATGGTTTATTTTGCTTTTAATTATGCATATTGCAAGATCAATGACACTGTGGTCCATGCTTTGTTGATTACTTTCATATTGGCTTCCCAGCCAGAGACATTCCAGAAAGTTCGCCCACGTTGTGAAGCACCTAGACGTGACATGACCTACCCTACAAGTTACACTCCATGCCGATATGTGAGGATATCTTGTTTGCGTGGAAATCCCATTGCCATTTTCTTTGTTCAGGTATTTTATCATAGCTTTACCATTTATGTTTCCATCATTTTTTATTATTCTAGAATCTAGAGTTAAATCCTATGCATGAGTGAGATCTTTTTCTTTATTTACTTTAAGCCATTTGGTTAGTTAGGTAGTTAGTTGCTTATTTATAACAGTATATAAAAGGAATAACCTCTGTTGGTGTACACTTCTTTTAGATATCTTTATCCTTCAAATATAGTATAACCGCCAAATCTTTTTAAAAAGAAAATGTTAGAGATATGAATCAATTACATTCTAATATTTTCCATTATTAGATATTGATTTTGTTCCTTATTATTGTATCTCTTCTTCATTATCAATAAGAATAATCGTGTGTACCTAACATGAAATTCATTATATTCCTACTCAGTTTCTCTTCTCATCATGGTACATGGTACCAGAACAGTACCATCTCCATGACCTGTTTTGTCACTACTCTTTTTGACAGAAAAAGTAGAACAATTAAAAAGTAACCCTCTATACAATCCGTTCACTTAATCTATTTCATCTTGGTTTGTGTAGAAAAGACTCTCACATTTTGGTGTTCTCTATGCATTCAATGTATTCTCTTTCCTCTGTATCCCTCTCTCCTTCTTTCTTCTCATGTGGATAAAACTTTTTCATTCTCTCTTTTTACTTCCTTCTTTATCAATGGAATGCCGTTAATTTTTTAAATTACCATGCCTGTGTTGCTGCTATTTATAACTTAAACCTGAAAGCTAGATGCTCAACTCTTTTTATTTGTACTTTTAAATTTCTGACTCTGTATTTTGTTGGGTAGAGGGAGGAAAGTATGCAAGACAGAAAACCAACACCTGACAAATATAAACTGCAAAGAAAAGTATTTTAAAGCTAATGTATGCAAAGCTGCACTTAAAACCCTCCCAAAGATTTTTTGTTGTCACCTGCCTGATATTTCGTAAGCATTTTCTTGAAAATCTCTTCTAATCTGTCCTGTCTCAAAATAGCAACATTGTAAACCAAAAGGCTTTTCATAAAACACTTTGTTAAGTAGTAAACTTTAAACTTAACTCAATCTTACAAAACTAGCTAGTAAGGTGATGTTTACATCCACTTATATACTTTAAATTGGCCTTATCACTAGTCGATGTGAGACTTTTAACACAATCTTCTCATGCCGAAGTATATACATCTTGTGCATGGGACTAGACATTAATGAATGGTCTGATAGCGAGTGGAACAATATGTCCAACAAATAACAAATTTCGCTAGGATAAATTCTAAACCATGACTTTGATATAATGTTAAGTAGTGAATTTTATGGCTAACTTAACCCTTCAAAACCGACTTGTAAGGTGAGATTTACACCCACTTGTATATTCTAAACTAGCCTTATCACTAGTCAATATGAGACTTCGAACACACTTCTTGACAAAGTTTTTTACTTTTTGCTATGTCACTGTCACAATTGTCTACATTGATTGGCTTTTTTGGAACTTACGTTTCTTTGTTGTTTTTTTTATCTACTTCTCTATCCTCCATGATTGTGTACTCTTCTCTCTTTCTGCTTCTAATACAATTTACTTTTTTTAATGAAGAAAAGGTTCATTTTGTTACCAACTAAGCTTGTTTTGTCATCTGTGTCTTGCAGCTAATAGGAGTTTCTGTGCCTGGTCTTGAGGCTGAATTTCAACCAGTTGTTAATTATTTGCTACCTCATATTTTATCTCACAAACAGGATCCTCATGATATTCATCTCCAGGTGGATTACCTTACTGCTAATATTATGTAGTTTAGTTATTCTATTATCATTCTTTCTTTTCTGATATTTCATAGTTTACAGTTGTTGCAAGATGTGACAAGTCGGTTGCTTGTATTTCTTCCACAATTAGAGGTAGACCCAAGCATTTTTACTTTCATGACTTTATTCATCATTCCTCCTTTTCTCTCTTTTGTTTGTCCATATTTTTGTTTAGGTCATTCAGCATTGTATGTAAAACTGCAGGCAGACCTTTCCAGCTTTCCAGATAATCCTGAATCTAACCTACGATTTCTTGCCATGGTTGCTGGTCCTCTTTATCCTATTCTTCATGTGGTAAATGAAAGGTTTGTTTGCTTTCTATATCTTTCCCACTGGACAATTATTTTTCTTTAATTGGAAATTATGATCTATAATACCTGTTTGATAAGAGAAAACATAATTTTAAACTAATTTTTTCTGTAAAACAAACTGACAAATTGTTATTTGTTAGATATTTCAAATGATATGCTCTCATATTGAAGTGATACTTAAATTGCATATTTTGCTTAGTCGGACATTGTAAATTTTACGAGTTTTCATCTTGAATACTGAGCCATTTGATGGGGGGAAAACTGCTAAAAGTTCTAAAAATTATGTAGCAGACATGCAAAAATTAAGGTGGATAAGAAATATAATAGAAAATATCATTTTTAGAATGAATGTGTTTGAGATGAAGTCGGAGTAGCATCAGTTGAGGGGAATGCAAAGACTTGCTTTGAAGTGGTTTGGTACAAGAAGACATCACATAAAGGCCATTAAGGGGATAAAAAAAAGATAGTTTAATACTTCAAGTCAAATGGACAGAGCAGGGACACCTTAAGTTTCGGAGGAAGCCTTTGAAAGAGGCTATGGTTAGAATGCTTTTATTGATAATGTGGTTTTTTATAGAATTCAATGTTGTTAATCGATCCTTGTAGCCTACTATACATATGGGATTTGCATTGTTGTTGTGCTTGTTTTTGAAACTAATTCATGTGGTTCTTGGTTGAAAAATGGTACAGATACCATTGCTAAACATAAACCCAATACGCATAAGTTACCTGAATTTCTCTAAGTACATATCTTTTTTCAATGTGTGCTTGTTCATGAATGGTCTATTTGTTGTTCATAATTTATCTAGCAAAGATTTTGTTTAATTACAGGACAAATTCAAAACCTCCAGGCAATATCACTGATCTTGATGTCTCTAAAAGCAGTCAACTTTCACCAACACTAACAGTTTCCTCTAACTTTGAGGTACATTCCCCTACGTCTATTATTTGCTACACCATGGTTTTCCTTTCTTTGATTTTTACACAATAGGTTTGACTGTTTCCATAGTAAAAAATGAGAGAACGAGCTCCACTTAACCCTGGAAGTAACTTCCTTTTAGGTCTCCGAAGGTCCAGATAACCTTCAAAGTCGTTTTCCATTAGGTCTTGAAAGGTGCTAAAGTGACTTCATGACTCCCTGTTTATTTTGTATCTGATACTGGAATCTTGTATAATTAACCATCAGCACACATAGGACTGACATATCCTAAACTGTCCTGTTACCTGCTTAATCTCCTTAAGTTTGACATTTGGTGAATTCTTACTGTATATTTCTGCAGGGGGAAGTGATTTTAAATGATATTTTCTTTGTTGATACAGATTTTTTTTTAAAACTTTTTCCGTTTTAATTTCTGAAATCCAATCAATATTTCGTGTCTTGTACATGCTTCATATTACTTACCCTCCCTGTATTTTTATTATGTGATGGTCATTCCACATGTATGACCCCTCTATCCATTAACCTTATTTCTTTTTTCTTGCAGCCAAGGAGATCACGTAGTGCATCCCCTTTAATTCTATCTCCATACCGTGCCATAGTTTTTAGGCCAGATGCAATTTTTGTGCTTCTGAGAAAGGCATATAAATATTCTGAACTGGGCTCTGTTTGTAGAATGGTATTTATCTCTCACCCATTTAGTTGTTTATCTATATATATGCTGTCAATAAAGTCTGCTCAACATCATCTAGAGTACTCTCGCTTGAGACATTATTTTTTTTTCCTGAAAGAATAAGAATAATATCATGTGGACATTTCCTTTCATCTTTCTTATATATATATATATATATATATGTGTGTGTGTGTGTGTGTGTGTAATAACCATAATATGATTGTAATGTTATAAAAACAAATATTTGTTATAGATTATCTACATCCAAATAATATTATTAAAATTGTATAAAAAACATTTTATTATATCCAAATAATAATTTATTACAGTAATATTGTCATTATTTATCTTAAGTAATACTGTGATTATTTATTCACAGTCAATATATAATTTTTATTTTTATGTTATTAAACTTTAAAGTACATATTAGGAATCATTCTATTTATAAGAGTTTATTTCTTTATTCTTTATAACTTATGTATTGACTTTTTTTTGTAATTATCGTAATAAAAAAATTATGTGAAATAAGTCTTTAAATAACTTTTAAGAAACAGAAATATTTATTTTTTCGTTTTAAAAGACTTTTTTATGCTTTAAATCTTTAAAAGAAAAATATTGATGTTATATTAATATACAGGTAACTAAATAAATAATTTAATATTTGAAAATGAATTATTGAATTTTTCTTATTGAAATATATAATCTATATTCTATATTGTAATAAAATGTGTGCAATCTCTACTACAGTTTTCTCGCATTTTATCCTCTTCCTTTTTTGTTTTAATTTTTACTGTTACAACACTCTGTTTTATGTTTTATCATCAAATATTATATTATCATACTACAACAAAATGTTATTTTTATATTAAAATATAGATATCACCAAAAGAACAGGAATAATACTAAAATAAAATTATATTATCCTATACTGTTGTAAAATTTTTTATATTATTTTTTTCTTATAGTAAACATGACATTTTTTTATACCATGAACTAAATTAAGAATTGTTTCATCCAAATATTGACTTAAATATTAATTTCATATATTAAATAAATCTCTGAATTATTTCGTTTCTTAATTTTTAAAACTTATGTGACATGTTTCAACTATTCGAATAATAACAAAATGTTAAATAAATGTCTTAGAATCTATGTTTGTATTTTAATTCTTTTTGATAAGTTATAATATTTAATTTTTAATAAATTAATAATATGAATAATATCAATCTAACTAGTATCATAATTAATAAATTTTGCATAATTCATATTATAAAAATAAATTACATTAACCTAATTAATAATAAGTGAAATTTAAATAGTTAATGTAAAAATAAAAAATGTACTGCACAATGCATGGATACATGATCTAGTTCAAATGCTCTTGTTCTTTTGAGCAGAAAGGGGAATATCTATATTTTTCTTTTATCTGTGTTCAATCCATTGTTGCTAATGTGTTCTTCTGGCATATACTGACCTTTATTTCAGGCATCTAAAATTATGCTCAAGCTCATAAATCCTGATACTGATCATGATATATCAAACCCTCTAGACGAAGTAACTTCTCTTTTGGAAGATAAATTAAATTTGGAACTGTCTAGTCCTTTAACTTTAGTTGATTACTCAAACCTGTTTGGAGACGAATTCCGGATGCAAGATGAGCAGTGGGATTGCAGCTATCTTAATGTATTAGATATGGCGGTGGTAGAGGAAGGGATCCTACATGTCCTTTATTCTTGTGCATCACAGGTTTCTTTCAATAAATGATATATTATTCCTTGGTGTTGATTATGTTGTCATAATTTGCACTAGTTTGTGTACATTGTTTAACACTGCAGTTTACAGCCTGTTCTTTGCAGCAAGTTGGCAGAGAGATCCTCGGACTTTTGGGCTGCACTACCACTTATACAAGCTCTGCTGCCAGGTTAAGTGTTTCGAATGAATTGTGCTTGGTTTTGGTAGCAGATTCCGGGCACAATGAATCCATAACAATACTGAATTTTGGAATGGAAATCTTGCCATGACCTTTATCCCTATTTGAGGAAAGGAAATTTGAGTTTGACTTAGTTGCACTTTTTCCTTTCCAACAAACGATATTAGGCCTTGCAGCTTTCCCTGACACACTGCCCCAATTTGTTCTAGTCATAGCATGCCCATGTGCTGTCACTTCCACTGGTGTCAATGTCTAGCTGTGTCAAATCTCCGATCATGCTCTGGCCATGTCAATCACCAGCTGTTATTAGAGAGTTCATTGGTCCTTGTCTGATTTGATCCATAGTTATCAATCATGCAGAATAGTATCACAAATGTGGTGGATGAGGTGCTTTTCAGACGAGTTGCTGCCTCGTCGTGTCTTGTCATTTTCTAATTTTCCGGGTTGTAGAGCACCTTGCAACATCTTCCTTTTTCTTCAGTCTGGTCAACCTCTCTCTCTGCTTGTGTTTTGCAACTTTTGGCTAGGAAAAATGGTCGAGTGAGAAGGCCGTAACTGATTTTTCTATGGAGGCTTCCTAACAGATTTGCAAATTGCATAGGAAAGGGATAGCTTTGTTCCATTGATAATTTCCCTTTTTTGTGTTGCTTTATTTATACTTTTTTGAAAATGGAGTTTCTTATATCCCTCAAATTCTATATACATTATTCGCTTAATGAATTTATTCCTTTATTAAAACAATTTGTAAAAAAGAATAGTTAGCATAGAGTAATATCATGGTAATTTAGGAAACTAGTAAAATGTGGACAGGGAGTGGGGAGCCCTAGAATATTGTTTGTCTATCGAAAAACTGCTAAACTGTAAATTATATTCCCTGTTTTATAATTCAATATATGTCAACAACAATTTCTGTTGTTTCATATTTTTATTTCAAAGGTATCATTTAAGAGATAGATTATCATCCTTAATTAAATTAGTTCTTAGCATAGATGAAAATTACGTTTTCCTAAATTATTGTTCAGGAACATAAACTTCCAGTTGTTTTAAATTCTGACATAAAAATCACATTGTTTTAGATTGTATAATATGTTTTTTTTTTGTCATAGTTGTTACGATTCTGCTATGTTCAATATTTGGCTTCTGCTTCGTTTTTGTAGCTCTGCGCCCATGGGTGAGCAATTCTTTTGATGTTGTTGATGATACATTTTCTCAGTGGAAACAACCTATTGTTCAACAGGCTTTATCTCAGGTTATATTCCTAAGGCATTTATAGACCCAACTGGCAAGATGTTTAAATTGTGTACTCTGTAGCATCTTATACTTTTCTTCTCTTGATTATGTGTATTATATTTGCAGATTGTTGCTACAGCAACATCAGCCACCTATCGTACGCTTGTTCATGTTTGTGCTGGTTATCTGTCATCCTACTCACCGTCTCATGTTAGTCAACAAATTATTTCTCAATATTAAACTAAAATCTTGTTTTTTTTCATGCATAGTATGTGTCCGTCTGCTTCATTTTGAGCTGTATAAATTGCATATATCCTTTTTCAACTATTTGCTTTTCTATTCTCTTTATTTTGAGGTAGAAACAGTTTACTCTAGGTTGGATTAAGTTTTCTATTGATAAAAGAAAAAAAAATCTGCAAGATGAATTATAAAACAGGGAACAGAACCTACAAAGAAAAAGTAAATATGGTAAAACCAAAAGATGCACAATCCCTTAATGTAATTAGCTTCTGTTTCAATGAAATGCTTTTAAAACCATCAAACCTGCATTTGCCAAAATGTCCAAGATATATATTTCACTGCAAGACAGCAGCAGGACACCTTTAGGACAAAGTATGGAAGAGATTGAAATACTCAATACAGCCATCCATGTATGTAAACAATACTCATCCTTGCTAGATCTTGGGCTTAGATGTTTGACAGATTTTATTGTGTCGAATGGGAGAAGACTCTTGTGAGAAGAAAAGAGAAGTTCTGGTTGGAGAAAAAAATAAAATTTAAAAGACCTTAAAAAAGAAGGGACATTGATGGTATGAAAAATAAACATACCAAATAATCTTAGGAAATAAACTTTAAGTCTAGCTCAAATTCACAAAACAGGTTTATAAGATGAGATTTGTACCTATATACTACAATGGTCTTATCTTTAGTCGTTGTGTGATCTTTAAAGATGTGTTTGGATTAGGAAGAGAATTTAAGGAGACCGAGTGAATGAATTTGAATGAATGAAAAGCGGATTGTGTTGTTGTTTGGATTAAGAGAAAGATGGTATGATTTAAGTGGATTTGAGATGAAAGTTTGTGTATGATATGATGAGTATAACAGATTAAAAAAATATTTTAATAGATAAAATTAGATGATTACCATTTTACTTCTGAAAATAAATATGATATAAATTTAAATATAAATATTATTATTCTTGTTTTTTTTATTATTATTTTATTGTTATTTATTATTATTATTTATTATTATTATTCACCACCAACTTGCTTCTTCATCTTCCTTGTAATGGTTCTTCTCCTGCAACACAAAAAGCAAGCATATCTACCCGACATACAAAAATATTATTATTCTTATTTATTGTTTGAATCAATTCTTCAATTTGGGAATCGATTCTTTAATTTGAGAATCAATTCTTTGCAACAAATGAATCTCCCGCAGCTGTTGTACACAGCTGTAAAATGCAAAATGCAAAAGAGTTGAGAAAATATGGTAATTCCTGTATTTATCTGCACAAATCTTCTCATTTTTTAAAGATGGAAATCCAGCACTCTCCCTCGACACATTCATTTTCTTGCAAATCTGCTGAAACAACACGGAAGGATCACCCACTCTCACTTGCTCATCAACCGTAAATCTGTTGAAACAAACAGAAGCTAACAAACCTGATGAATTTTACATTCACTTATGTATAGTAATTTGGTGATATCTTTAGTTTATATAATATCTCTAACACACCCCATTTTGACGATCACCATCTTAAAAGGTGTGAATTTTAGGCCTAAATTAGTTTCACAAAACTGATTTTTAAGATGAGGTCTACACCCTTGTATGTACTATAACTTGATCATAACTCTAGTCGATATGAAATTTCCAACAGTCATGATAGATAGACGATTGGAAGGTCACACCCATGGCAAAGAGAAACTACAAAGCACAAGTTTGGCAAACTTGAAGAATGCCCACTGGATATGAAGAAAAAGGACCAGATTAATTAAAAAGGACAAGTTATTGAATAGTTGACTTGAAATTTAAGATTAGAAAATTTGTGCTGTTGCAACTCTGTTTTGTATAAATTTTTGCTAGTATAAATTATCAAATGGATGAAAGTTCTTGCACATCCATGGTGATATCAACAAGTTTATAATGTAGATAAACCAACGTCTCAGAAGGTTCTACTGAAATAATTTTCTGTTCTGGGCCATCCACTGATTGGATCTTTTCTTTCATGAAGGCCAGGGCTGCTTGTGTACTGATTGATCTGTGTTCTGGTGTGCTAGCGCCATGGATGACTCAGGTGATTGCAAAGGTACAATTGAACCTTCTAATTTGATTCCTGTGGTATTTTCAGCTATATTTTTGTCAGTCCTTTTTTTGGATCCAATTTTATCTTCATCTTTACTGTTGTAAATAGCATATNTTAAAATTGTATAAAAAACATTTTATTATATCCAAATAATAATTTATTACAGTAATATTGTCATTATTTATCTTAAGTAATACTGTGATTATTTATTCACAGTCAATATATAATTTTTATTTTTATGTTATTAAACTTTAAAGTACATATTAGGAATCATTCTATTTATAAGAGTTTATTTCTTTATTCTTTATAACTTATGTATTGACTTTTTTTTGTAATTATCGTAATAAAAAAATTATGTGAAATAAGTCTTTAAATAACTTTTAAGAAACAGAAATATTTATTTTTTCGTTTTAAAAGACTTTTTTATGCTTTAAATCTTTAAAAGAAAAATATTGATGTTATATTAATATACAGGTAACTAAATAAATAATTTAATATTTGAAAATGAATTATTGAATTTTTCTTATTGAAATATATAATCTATATTCTATATTGTAATAAAATGTGTGCAATCTCTACTACAGTTTTCTCGCATTTTATCCTCTTCCTTTTTTGTTTTAATTTTTACTGTTACAACACTCTGTTTTATGTTTTATCATCAAATATTATATTATCATACTACAACAAAATGTTATTTTTATATTAAAATATAGATATCACCAAAAGAACAGGAATAATACTAAAATAAAATTATATTATCCTATACTGTTGTAAAATTTTTTATATTATTTTTTTCTTATAGTAAACATGACATTTTTTTATACCATGAACTAAATTAAGAATTGTTTCATCCAAATATTGACTTAAATATTAATTTCATATATTAAATAAATCTCTGAATTATTTCGTTTCTTAATTTTTAAAACTTATGTGACATGTTTCAACTATTCGAATAATAACAAAATGTTAAATAAATGTCTTAGAATCTATGTTTGTATTTTAATTCTTTTTGATAAGTTATAATATTTAATTTTTAATAAATTAATAATATGAATAATATCAATCTAACTAGTATCATAATTAATAAATTTTGCATAATTCATATTATAAAAATAAATTACATTAACCTAATTAATAATAAGTGAAATTTAAATAGTTAATGTAAAAATAAAAAATGTACTGCACAATGCATGGATACATGATCTAGTTCAAATGCTCTTGTTCTTTTGAGCAGAAAGGGGAATATCTATATTTTTCTTTTATCTGTGTTCAATCCATTGTTGCTAATGTGTTCTTCTGGCATATACTGACCTTTATTTCAGGCATCTAAAATTATGCTCAAGCTCATAAATCCTGATACTGATCATGATATATCAAACCCTCTAGACGAAGTAACTTCTCTTTTGGAAGATAAATTAAATTTGGAACTGTCTAGTCCTTTAACTTTAGTTGATTACTCAAACCTGTTTGGAGACGAATTCCGGATGCAAGATGAGCAGTGGGATTGCAGCTATCTTAATGTATTAGATATGGCGGTGGTAGAGGAAGGGATCCTACATGTCCTTTATTCTTGTGCATCACAGGTTTCTTTCAATAAATGATATATTATTCCTTGGTGTTGATTATGTTGTCATAATTTGCACTAGTTTGTGTACATTGTTTAACACTGCAGTTTACAGCCTGTTCTTTGCAGCAAGTTGGCAGAGAGATCCTCGGACTTTTGGGCTGCACTACCACTTATACAAGCTCTGCTGCCAGGTTAAGTGTTTCGAATGAATTGTGCTTGGTTTTGGTAGCAGATTCCGGGCACAATGAATCCATAACAATACTGAATTTTGGAATGGAAATCTTGCCATGACCTTTATCCCTATTTGAGGAAAGGAAATTTGAGTTTGACTTAGTTGCACTTTTTCCTTTCCAACAAACGATATTAGGCCTTGCAGCTTTCCCTGACACACTGCCCCAATTTGTTCTAGTCATAGCATGCCCATGTGCTGTCACTTCCACTGGTGTCAATGTCTAGCTGTGTCAAATCTCCGATCATGCTCTGGCCATGTCAATCACCAGCTGTTATTAGAGAGTTCATTGGTCCTTGTCTGATTTGATCCATAGTTATCAATCATGCAGAATAGTATCACAAATGTGGTGGATGAGGTGCTTTTCAGACGAGTTGCTGCCTCGACGTGTCTTGTCATTTTCTAATTTTCCGGGTTGTAGAGCACCTTGCAACATCTTCCTTTTTCTTCAGTCTGGTCAACCTCTCTCTCTGCTTGTGTTTTGCAACTTTTGGCTAGGAAAAATGGTCGAGTGAGAAGGCCGTAACTGATTTTTCTATGGAGGCTTCCTAACAGATTTGCAAATTGCATAGGAAAGGGATAGCTTTGTTCCATTGATAATTTCCCTTTTTTGTGTTGCTTTATTTATACTTTTTTGAAAATGGAGTTTCTTATATCCCTCAAATTCTATATACATTATTCGCTTAATGAATTTATTCCTTTATTAAAACAATTTGTAAAAAAGAATAGTTAGCATAGAGTAATATCATGGTAATTTAGGAAACTAGTAAAATGTGGACAGGGAGTGGGGAGCCCTAGAATATTGTTTGTCTATCGAAAAACTGCTAAACTGTAAATTATATTCCCTGTTTTATAATTCAATATATGTCAACAACAATTTCTGTTGTTTCATATTTTTATTTCAAAGGTATCATTTAAGAGATAGATTATCATCCTTAATTAAATTAGTTCTTAGCATAGATGAAAATTACGTTTTCCTAAATTATTGTTCAGGAACATAAACTTCCAGTTGTTTTAAATTCTGACATAAAAATCACATTGTTTTAGATTGTATAATATGTTTTTTTTTTGTCATAGTTGTTACGATTCTGCTATGTTCAATATTTGGCTTCTGCTTCGTTTTTGTAGCTCTGCGCCCATGGGTGAGCAATTCTTTTGATGTTGTTGATGATACATTTTCTCAGTGGAAACAACCTATTGTTCAACAGGCTTTATCTCAGGTTATATTCCTAAGGCATTTATAGACCCAACTGGCAAGATGTTTAAATTGTGTACTCTGTAGCATCTTATACTTTTCTTCTCTTGATTATGTGTATTATATTTGCAGATTGTTGCTACAGCAACATCAGCCACCTATCGTACGCTTGTTCATGTTTGTGCTGGTTATCTGTCATCCTACTCACCGTCTCATGTTAGTCAACAAATTATTTCTCAATATTAAACTAAAATCTTGTTTTTTTTCATGCATAGTATGTGTCCGTCTGCTTCATTTTGAGCTGTATAAATTGCATATATCCTTTTTCAACTATTTGCTTTTCTATTCTCTATTTTGAGGTAGAAACAGTTTACTCTAGGTTGGATTAAGTTTTCTATTGATAAAAGAAAAAAAAATCTGCAAGATGAATTATAAAACAGGGAACAGAACCTACAAAGAAAAAGTAAATATGGTAAAACCAAAAGATGCACAATCCCTTAATGTAATTAGCTTCTGTTTCAATGAAATGCTTTTAAAACCATCAAACCTGCATTTGCCAAAATGTCCAAGATATATATTTCACTGCAAGACAGCAGCAGGACACCTTTAGGACAAAGTATGGAAGAAATTGAAATACTCAATACAGCCATCCATGTATGTAAACAATACTCATCCTTGCTAGATCTTGGGCTTAGATGTTTGACAGATTTTATTGTGTCGAATGGGAGAAGACTCTTGTGAGAAGAAAAGAGAAGTTCTGGTTGGAGAAAAAAATAAAATTTAAAAGACCTTAAAAAAGAAGGGACATTGATGGTATGAAAAATAAACATACCAAATAATCTTAGGAAATAAACTTTAAGTCTAGCTCAAATTCACAAAACAGGTTTATAAGATGAGATTTGTACCTATATACTACAATGGTCTTATCTTTAGTCGTTGTGTGATCTTTAAAGATGTGTTTGGATTAGGAAGAGAATTTAAGGAGACCGAGTGAATGAATTTGAATGAATGAAAAGCGGATTGTGTTGTTGTTTGGATTAAGAGAAAGATGGTATGATTTAAGTGGATTTGAGATGAAAGTTTGTGTATGATATGATGAGTATAACAGATTAAAAAAATATTTTAATAGATAAAATTAGATGATTACCATTTTACTTCTGAAAATAAATATGATATAAATTTAAATATAAATATTATTATTCTTGTTTTTTTTATTATTATTTTATTGTTATTTATTATTATTATTTATTATTATTATTATTATTATTATTCACCACCAACTTGCTTCTTCATCTTCCTTGTAATGGTTCTTCTCCAGCAACACAAAAAGCAAGCATATCTACCCGCCATACAAAAATATTATTATTCTTATTTATTGTTTGAATCAATTCTTCAATTTGGGAATCGATTCTTTTATTTGAGAATCAATTCTTTGCAACAAATGAATCTCCCGCAGCTGTTGTACACAGCTGTAAAATGCAAAATGCAAAAGAGTTGAGAAAATATGGTAATTCCTGTATTTATCTGCACAAATCTTCTCATTTTTTAAAGATGGAAATCCAGCACTCTCCCTCGACACATTCATTTTCTTGCAAATCTGCTGAAACAACACGGAAGGATCACCCACTCTCACTTGCTCATCAACCGTAAATCTGTTGAAACAAACAGAAGCTAACAAACCTGATGAATTTTACATTCACTTATGTATAGTAATTTGGTGATATCTTTAGTTAATATAATATCTCTAACACACCCCATTTTGACGATCACCATCTTAAAAGGTGTGAATTTTAGGCCTAAATTAGTTTCACAAAACTGATTTTTAAGATGAGGTCTACACCCTTGTATGTACTATAACTTGATCATAACTCTAGTCGATATGAAATTTCCAACAGTCATGATAGATAGACGATTGGAAGGTCACACCCATGGCAAAGAGAAACTACAAAGCACAAGTTTGGCAAACTTGAAGAATGCCCACTGGATATGAAGAAAAAGGACCAGATTAATTAAAAAGGACAAGTTATTGAATAGTTGA